CCCCCCCCCCCCCCCCCCCCCACACACACACACACACACACACACACACAGACAGTCCTCCACCACGGTTAAAATAAATCCTAGAGGAAACCCTGAACATATTTTTGTTATGTTTAGCCCGGCCTGAAAAGATGGAAATTCTCCCCTCTAGAAGTTTTTTCCTTCGTAATCACACAAACCTTTTTAATATGATAGCTGTGTGGCTCGAGAGTTGCTTTAAGCTTCAAACCAAAAACCTGAACGATTTCATTTGAAACATCAATCTTATGACTAACAATAAAAGATTTATGTCATTTTGTTCATCCTCTATGACTCATTTTGAAAACTCCTGTATCACATCATCCACCTGGAGAATTAATCCATTATTGATATCATGACAAAAATTCTTCACTCAGCTCTTCTTGTGTTTACAGCCGTGTTGTTTTAACCCTTTCATACCTCAGTGTAGTCGGACACAAAGAAGGACGTGGTTCCATCGTACTCCATAAAGTGTCTTGGAAAGAGGCGCACCCAGGTGTCATCTCCGTAGAAAATGATCCTTTTGCCTGCCGTTTTAGCCTGCCATAAGAGGTTGTCTTCCAAAAGTGCAGGAGAATTCAGGTTCATGACCACATCAATGAAGCCAGGGATGCTGCCAGTGGTGAGAGCCTGCACAGAGATGGGGGTTTTTTACTTAACAATGTAAACGCATAAAACTTTAGTAAAAGGACAAAAGTACACACATTTTTTGTGTGGAAAATGAGCTCTAAATCTAAGCCATAAACATTTACTTAATAAAAGAAAAGCATTAAATTCCTTTGATTAGTTGGGTCTTTATTTTTCTTTAGTTTTCTTGAGTTTGTAAAATACATTTTTCTCTACTGTCTGGAACAAATCAGGGCTTAATATGTAAAAACCAATTGATGCCAGAACGCAAATAACGGGCGAACTGGCTGGTCCTGGGGAGCGTGGCTGCTCAAAAGACAAGAACCTGACAAGTTTTTTAATGACATAAAATATATTTTGTTAGCAAAGAATTGAGTCCTAACATTTATTAAACATTACTTCTGTATTTACCAAAAAAATAAAAAAAATAAAAATTGTGCTTTGACAAACTCATCGATAAAACTAAAACATTTTGTCAACGCGAAAGAGGAAAAAGGGGGCAGGTGTAGCTCTTGCTTTGAGTTTATACGTTCTATTTCGTATAGGCTTCGCCCTTTAAGAGCTGCAGCTGGGGGGGGGGGGGGGGGGTTGTCACCCAGGGAATTTATGCTCAGTAAAAACCCCTCCACTCTGGTGATGGGCGCTGATGTGGAAAACCGGCCCTCTCAGTCTGCCAGGGTCCGGCTGCAGCCTCGTTCCAGTAGGACGTCACTGCTGGGAAAACGAGGCCAGATGGGATCAGGACGGCGATGTCAGCCGTCTCCTGGATTATGCTGGGCAGCTCCAGAGGAGGGCACCAACGGCTGAGAGCGGTGTGGTCGCCGATGCGAAAAAGGTCGCAGGGAGTGGGGTGAGCAGCCGCTCAGCCCCCCTCGCTCCGACACTACGCTCTCCAGGAGGGAGTCGGCAATAAAATGAAAAATAAAAGATGGCGTCGTCCAGCGTGTAGCAACCCACCACTGAGAAATATTCCTCGGCGCTTACCTTGAAACAAGACTGCTCGTCTGCTTCTCCTCGGGGAGGAGAACTCAGCGGCAGTCCTAAACCGGTTCCGCATGCTCGGGGTGCACACACCTTCCCCAGCGCACGCCAGCTCACATCAACACGGATGTGAGCCCACAGCCTGTGTGGCACAGGAACGCCGCGCACTCGCAGTAGTCCTAAACCGGTTCCGCATGCTCGGGGCATGCGCACCCTCCCTCAGCGCACGCCAGCTCACATCAGCATGGATGTGAGCCCGCAGCCCGAGTGAGGCACACATGACGGCGGTGATTGGCGTCCATGAATAACGTGACGCAGCATAAACGCGTGCCCGCTTCCCGGAAGTTACGCGGAGTGGCAGCGAGCGTGCGCTCCAGATAGATGGATGAACCGTTATCAGCAGGGGATTCACACTGCAGTACAGCTCAAACCCCCATTCAGAGGAACTCTAGAGACGTTTTCTGTCATCTCTAGAACAGATCTCATCCGCCCTCGCAGAAGCTCAGGAAATTCTGCATAAAATGTAATTTCCAGGGTCCCAGAAGGAGAGGAAAACACAGGGTTCCACTCTCGTCACTTCCTGGTCCCAAACGGACTGGAAAGATGAGATTCATATTAGATTTGTCAATTTTGAACTGTGAGACAACATTTCCATTTAAAATGCAGCTGCCACACAGAGCAGGGAGGAGAATTCTGCTTTATCTGGACATCTGTTGCTGCTGACCCATTTTTCCAGACAGGTGGAAGCAGTGCAACTCACGTAAAACCGGCAGAGTGATAACAGTTGTTTCTGTCAGCAGACTTATGTGTCAGACTTCACAGAGGCACATGCATTTCTCGAGCTGTGGGGGTGCTATGGCCACCCCACGAAGCAACTCAAATAAATGTTCTTGGAGTGTCAGGGGTTTTGAATGTGATTCAACACTTTTCCTCTGTGCAGCGGAATCATCATGAGTTGACTCACACAGAGAGCAAGTGACTGCTGCATACATAACCGGCGGGGGGGGGTGCGCGCTCAGCCCAAATGCTACACATTGTGAGACAGATGCTGTGCTGGGCATACCAAAATCTGTTCTCCATCAGAGCAGTGTACATCCCCGGTGTTCTGAACAGGGGGCGGATGTGATGTCCAGGGACGGTCCGCATCACGAAAATCTGTTCTCCATCAGAGCAGTGTACATCCCCGGTGTTCTGAACAGGGGGCGGATGTGATGTCCAGGGACGGTCCGCATCACGGGGACCGGACCCCCCATCCAGAGCTGATGGCTCAGACATGGCAGGAATTTAGCAAAGCGGCTGTAGATCTGGTGCAACACGAGAGAACACTCAGTGTCAACTATGGTTCTCACTGAGCCCGCGGGACGAACCACCGCTAGGGGTGGACGTGTTTGCTCACAGCCTGTGGCCCAAAATGCTTCTTTACGCATTTCCCCCACTCCCTCTGATATCACGGTTTCTGAACAGAGTTCAGCAGGAGGGATTGACAGCTCTCCTGGTGGCTCCCGAGCGCGTGAACGCACCATGGTTCCCGGTTCTACGACGCCTGTTATCGGGGCCCCCGTGAGAACTGCCGTGGACGGAGGACGCACTTCTCCAGGTGGGAGAAGCGATCAGGAGTTACCCAGAAATAGGCCAGCACCTTTGGGTCTGGCCGCTGAGCGGATCCGCTTAGAGATGATGGGTCTCTCTCAAGATGTAGTGCGCACAATCCAGGATTCACGTGTTGCAACCACCACAGCGCTGTACATATTAAAGTGGACAGATTTTCAGCGCTGGGGTACAGAGAAAGGTGTAGAGGCCACTTCATGTCCACTAGGTAGCGTGGTGTCCTTTCTGCAGCAGCTGATGGACAGAAATCTGGCATTCAACACAATTAAAACGTACGCTGCAGCCATCTCTTCTTGTCACAAAGGTTTCGGGGACAGAACAGCTTTTAATCATCCACTGATGAAGCGTTTTTTAAAAGATGTACAGAGATGCAGGCCTGTTTCACGCCCACTTGCTCCACAGTGGGTTTTAACGCTGGTCCTGCGAGCCATGATCAAAGCTCCATTTGAGCCACTGAATCAGGTTCCAATTAAATTCTTGTCTCTTAAAACAGCCCTGCTGCTGGCTTTAATATCCGCTAAGAGGGTGAGTGATTTATCTGCCCTCTCTGTCGCTCCGTCATGTCTCAGGATTCAGGCTGACGGCAGCTCAGTTGATCTGAGACCTAACCCAGTGTTCATGCCTAAAAACATCATGAGTTCTTTTAAATCAAGAGCGATATCGCTGGAGGATTTTTTCCCTCCACCCACAAATCAGAAAAAGAAGCATCTTTCCATCTTCTCTGTCCTGTGCAGGCGTTGACGTGCTACATAGCACGCACGGCCGCAATGCGTCAAACTCAACATTTGTTTGTGCATTATAGAGATGCATCTGCAGGTCGTCCGTTATCCACCCAGCGCCTATCACACTGGATGGGTGAGGCCATTTCTGAAGCCTAAAGAGCATCAGATTTAGAGCCTCCTGATAACCTCAGGGCGCACTCGATCAGGGGTATCACATCTTCGAATGCTTTGCATAATGTTATGACAATGCAGAATATTTGCACTGCGGCCGCGTGGTCAACACCCTGCTCATTTATTCGCTTTTATCTACGTGATGTGACGGTTCGTTACATGACACATTCTGTCCTTAGTGTTTTAACAGAATGAATATTGTTGTTTCATGGAACCTCGTTTAAACTCACATCTGACTGCATGCATTTACAGTGTGAGATGTTGTTATCAGTCACAAGTTGTGACTGTTGTTCTGGTTCTATTGTCACTAATCAGTTCATGACTATTGTTACCAATCAGTTCATTTGATTAATAATCAGTTCACTTGTTATTATTAATCTGTTCATATTGATCAGCTGTGAATCTGTTTGGTTCACGGCCTTCTTTCAGCATCTTCCTTTCCCCGTTGAAACTTTTCCGGGGCGTTCATGCATTCAGAACGCATAATTACACAGCATGCGTCTGTGCATGGTACACATAATTACGCAACGCGTAATTACGCACATGGAGAGCTGAGTGACAAGACGTTTTTGGGCAAGCTTCCGCTTCATACGGTGTTCGAATGGACCCAGTGAGGCGAGGACCACATCTGCTTCGCCCTTAACCCACTAAGCGACAGCCTTAAAGGGCAAAACCTATACGACATAGAACGTTGGCTATGTACTGTAACCCCAGATTCTATGAGTATAGGCATAGCCCTTTAAGCGTCGGGCCTCACTGGCTCCTAAGTGGCTGAAGAAAACGCTATTTGGGAGCTGATTACCTGCTCTTAACGTAATTTATACGGACCGGGTGGGGCCCACACAACAGGTGGGCGTGGACTAAATTTTTCAGTGCAATGCTTTGCATGACGGGATAAAACCCACTAGCAACAGCCTTAAAGGGCTACGCCTATACTCACAGAACCTGGGGTTACAGTACGTAACCAACGTTTTGTTGCATGCGTGCTGTGGGTGACAAGCGTCCAGAGCGTCATAAAAACAGCAGCTAAGGTGTCTGAGTTATTCATTTATCATCTCAGCAGCAGAGGGGAGCGACACGGTTCAAGCATGGCTCCCCAAACGACAAGGCAGTCGTATTTGTTCATAACTTTATTATTGGTAAGCCTGAGAGTTGATGGATCCATTCAAACAGTTGCCGGAACGCACCCTAACAAAATAAGAGAGTTCCCAGATCTTGTTCCGGCAGTATCCGGTTCAAATTAAGCCCTGCAACAAATGTGTAGTACGAGTCCCTTTTCATCAAAAGCAGTTGCTAAAAGAGTGATGTGGCCTGGTGGTAGACCCTCGAAAAGAAAAGTTTGTCAGTTCGCAGTTTAAATACCACACAAGTTTTTTTTTTTATCTTTTGTTCCCACATAACCATGAATGAACCATTCCAAAAGGGTGGTGAAAACGTGAACAGCTGGTGGTGGTGACAGCTGGCAGTCGCTAAAACTGATACAAAGGTTTGAAGAAACACTAGTTGATTACACTAATGATA